AGTCAAGGGCAGCTCGGCAATTCATTAGCTTTTTTCCAGTGTCTGGCTCCTCGTGCAGTTCATTGTTATTCATCAAACCATGGTACGCCTGTCATTAATGACCCCGTGCTCTTTTTGTACCAACATGACGAATTCATGTGAAAGCCTTAAAATGTTTCAAATGCACACAAACCTTTTTTTGTTTGTTTTGTAACCTCATCACGCTAATTCGGTCTTTTGTTGTATCTCTAGTCGAGGCAAATCTTTCCTTTTTGAACGACATACTGCTTGCTGAAGAAATCACAGTTGTGATTAAGCAAGCAAATTTGTGATGAAATGAAGGAAATGTATGCCCTGTATGAAAGGAACAAACCTCTTTTTTGCAAGACAATGTTGACTGACAGTAACAATTAATTGTTCAAAAGTCAGCTTTCTTTTGTGATTATGATGCATTTCGACTTGCAAACAAAATCAGGTTATGTTGCCACCGTAGTAATAAAACTCTTGAAGACTGAGATCCGTTTTGCGAGCGCGTGCTTGTGCCTGTGGAAGAAAAAAAAATTGAATTTGTGAATAGCAGTCGGCTCGGGTTGTGTGGTTAGTTCCCATTTGGTCCAAATATTACAAAGCCTCAGTACAAAAAAGGGAAGTATAATTAAAGTGCAGAGAAAGGACTGCTGAGAACAGATACAAAATTCATGACTTAGGGGGAAAAAAAATACCTTTTATCACCCCACAGTCATTCAGGACAGGTTGACATTTATTAAATAGTGTCTGCTGCTACTGTTGCATGATGGTGGGATGCACCACAGGTAGCGGCTAAACACCTACTGTTAACCGAACAGAGGAAAGGGCAGAAAGCTCGGCCCAATGCCCCCGAGGCAGATCCGGACTCTGCCAAGTTCTGTTAAGTCCCGCCTTGGTGTTCTTATGCAATGAAATTGCACAGCCGTCCGCAGCTTCGCCGCCGGCATCGATGCTATCATGTGAGATGCCATTAACCGAGAGATGGAGCGAAAGTAAAACCAAACAAACCGCCGGTCGGCGGCAGCGGGAGAACAGTTGAGCAAATTGACTGATCGCCTTCATTTCCACCAGCCAGGGATGGTATCATTTATTGATCGGGACGTTTCATTAAGTGTCGACGCAACATGTCACCTCACTTGACAAATGGCCGTCTTGGCGTTTTATGACCCTGCAGTCCATGAGTCACTGTCACAGCTTTAGTAGCTCTCTTTTCCGACAACTCTACTCTCGACATTATAATTTTTGTCATTTCTCTGGTGGGTTTTAGGGTTCATTCTTGGCACAGTTGTGACTACGTAGGCCGTTTTTTTCATAAATTAGGTCGAGTTTGGTTTGGCGTTCTGCAGAGGTACCTAAGAAGCATTTTCCTACTGTTGGGAATCTCAATTCAAATATGCGCCGCAGCTTTATATGATAATTAAATTACACTAGTCAAACACCCCCCAAAAAACAGCCCCAAGCATTTGTTTTCCCTTGACCCCAAAATGCTACAGTATAATTTATTCCCCCGGCATGAATGCACGCCAGTGTTCGCCCCCGTGTCCTAAATGTGAATTCATGGAGAATTACAGAGTGGAGCCCTCTCGGGAGCGAAGGGAAAATGTTGTTTGATTGCCATGGAAACACACGATTGCGTTGAAAACCACGCTGTATGCTATGTAAACAAGAGGGCATCTGTTCAGGTTTGGAGGTGTGTCGGAGTGAATCGGGAATCATGCGAGCAGATTGGCTGATTTCCCAGGTTGTGCTGTTGCCGGCGGTTGTGCAGAATTTTTAAATTGTACGACGCTACCAATACGAGAGTTTTTCCTGGATCAACTTGAGGCAGAGGTGGTTTTGTGGTCTTTCTGAACCAAGAAACTTTAGGTCATCGAAAAAATTTTGGACCGCCAGTGTCCTAAGTGTCAAGTGGAGAGTCTCTGATCTTTTACCCGTTGAGAATTAGACATGATTTGTTGACCCACTCCTGTCAGTGGGCATTTATAGTAACCCCGTCTCAAGTTTGAAGAGGTGTCGTGTCGTATCGAAGGCGAAGTCTTGATCTCTACAAAAAGCATGTTCGGAAGTTACACATGTTCAGCAATTCTACGTCTGTTGCTGATGTTCCCACCTTTGTGTAGTGCTGTTTAGTGTCTTCATTTTTGAGATTCTATGTACTGGTTGCTAGTCAATGTCTGGGCACATTTGGACAAACATACCTGTAGGCAATTTAGTCTTGAAACAACCTGCTACGAAGCATGCTTGATTGTGGAAAAATGTTAGATTTCGTTTTTGGACAATGGGAGAAGTTGATGGCTCAAAATAAAAAATTCCACCCCTTCAGGCAGTAATGTTTAATGCAACTTCTACTCGTGACGCTCTTGATTCCCTTCAGCCTCTGCATCATCTACGATGTTCCAAATCACTGAAGCAATCATTCGATGAAATAATTAAGTAAAGAAATCAGTCAGTCAGAGACAACCAATACATAATTGCACCCAAAGGCTTTTTTCCCCGAGCTGTGTTCATGTTGGCGGCACCGCAATGATTTATCGACTTAATAATTGCTGCGAATTGCACTTTGGATCCTGGTATGAAATTTCATCTGCCCATGTTCAGTGTTCACTTTAACTGGCGCACACCAACGTCACATTTGGCACAACCCAGCAAATGTAACGATGGCTTTAATTACGACTACAAAAGAGCTTTGGAACGAAGACCAACTTCTCTGCCTTTACCCTCCCCCTCTGTGCTTGGCTGTTCATGCTCTGACAATTTTCATGCATCATTTAGGAGCTGCCTATGACGAGTCACTTGCTGCTACTCCGTCTCACCTTTTCCATCCCCTGGGTGCTTACTACACATCTTTGATGGTGATAGCTAAGCCCTCGCAAGCCACCCTCCCGTGGGGGTATTCTTTCTCTTTGTGTAAATAAGACATCTGGGCAGCATGGAAGGGAAAATGCAGGTTCTGTTAACAGCAGCTAATTTTATTTCTGTGTATGCAAACTCCATCGGGGTTGGACCTGACCGAGCCTTAACGATAAATATGAAAAAAAAAATACCCAAACAAATGCCATTTTCCATTTTGGATTTCTTGTAATCCAAACAAAAGCCGGGAATGCGCTGCACTGTTTAACAGGCTAATGCATCCCTGACCATTTAGTGTCCATCGAGAATCACAATGGGGCATATATTATTAATTATACAAAGGATCTTTTGTCTGATTTATGCTGTTCCACTGGCCTTTGACAGATTGATAATAGCTTGGACTTGATAGAGTGAGTCCACCGCAGTCTATTTAGCATATCAGTGCAAAAAAAAAAAAAAGTAATTGGTTTTAAGCCTGCCGTACGACGCGAAGTGTCCGAAATCGGCTGAAATATTTGCCGACCTGGCATAAACCACACAACTCAAATAAATCACTTGTTTAGCTGAGAAGTCTTATACAAAAAGTTTCAAGAAGCCTTGTCCTAAAACAGTTTTCTTTTCAAATGGTTAATCAAGGGTCATTTTGGCCACTTCACGGGACATTCAAACACGAAATTAGATAGTTGGCATGTTTTTGACCAATGTTATTCAGTACCAGTCACTTGCTTCATGTTATTTTTACCTGAGATCCTTTCTCCACCAAACTCAAAAGGGTTGTTTCCAGTTAACCCTGTTATCTCCTGAGAATACAATCACATTCTCTCCTTGCCTTGGCCTGACCTGTGATCAATGTGTCAAGTGAAGGCAGCCATCTTAACATTTTCCCTCAGAGCTGCCTTCACTTTTCCCCCCCTTATTTCTTATTTCCTTCTCAAACCTCAGAGCGCCGTCTTCTGCCCTCACTGATGCCCAGCGTGCCGTCATGTAGCTCTCGTCCGCCTTTCCAACTTGCCGGTGTCTTGGCAGTTCCCGTTAAAATGCAATCAGTGTTTGTCAGTGTAGCGTCCTCACGATGATGTATATGTAAATTCTGCCCTTTAGCTTACCCTAGTAATGAGAAAATGCACTTCCTTTGAAATTAACAATCGGATGTTCTTTGTTGAGTTTAGTTGTTCAGAGGGGTAAACACTGAAACTGATGGCCTTTTTCCTCTCATTGTGTTCGTGGTATCAAAGGTGCAGCAAGCTGTTGATCGATTCTATTGTCCGAGGTATTTATTTTCGCTTTTAGCATAATTTGTGTGACATGCTTTTGCTGCCTCTCATGTCTTGTTTTATTAGGATGCCATTTCGAATTTTGCCCGGATGGAGATGCAGCTAATTTACGTAATACTACCCCCCAGAGTTTCTCTGCACAGGCGAAAATGCAAAGTCACTATCATGACAAAAATAAAATTTGAGCTCAAGTGTTTGCTTCTCTTAACAGCGCATACTGAACGTTTGGAAAAGTGCACAACTTGTTTGCGGCTGTGTATTTTTGTCCACAGCAGTCACCACCTACACAGAATTGTACAGTAAATGAGACGTGTAATTTGGTGGCTTGGTGAGTAAGTGTTGCCCCACAAGTGAAAAACAATCCATGCCTTTGCTGTTTTATGGCCCCTGGCGTTGGCGCAAACCCTTAGCTCCACCTTTGGCCGCTAAGATAACAACAGTGATACTTTGTGTTGGCCTCATAGTAGATCAACAGGATGAGCAGTGGCTTATTATTTTATCAAGACAGGAGCAGAAAACAAGTTGATGTGAGGTAAACCAACAAAAAGAAAGTCTTGCAAAGCAGGGATTTCCTACATTTTTCCACCGAGGGCCACATATCGAAAAGTGAAAAGAGGACACCACTATACCTTGTATTTAGGAAACATGCATAAACCAGTCTAATGCACACATACAGGGCAACATACCGATAGTATGTTGGGATCCACAGTATTATTCTCCACCGTTGTGGTATTTAGATGATAACATGCTCAAGACATTTTATTCAGATTCATGGAAACTGTTTTCTAATTTGACAAAAAACAAATTCCACAATACATCTCCTTTAAGAGCACTTCTAATAGTTTTTTGTTTTTACTCATTTTGTCTCAGATCATATCAAGAAGAAGCTCCGCCGACGGCCATCTTGGGTGCGGGGCATCATCCGCAAGCATAAGCACCACAAGAAGGGTGCGGATGAACACAAAGTGGAGGAACACACAGAGACTGAAATGGAAGCGGCGGGGCCCAGCGACTCTTGCCTGACATTGGACGAGGAGTCCTCATGCGACACCCCGGGACCCCGGACCAATGGCCACCTCCCTCATGTCTCCTCCATGGAGGAAGAGAGCTCCAACGAGCCCCCGGTTGGCTCCACCGAGGCCGGAAAGGAGTTGGAAGAACAAACTCGGCTGCATTGCCTTGGCAATGATTCCCATCCCCAAACAGACGGTGACAGCCAAACCGATGCAAAGCCTCCAATTGAAAAATCTGATTGTTCTGACGCTCAACATACGGAGTCTCTCCACATAGCACAAGTGAATGGGAACGAGTCGATGGATAGTCTGGATCAGTGCCTGGAGAAAAACAGCAAAGCCGGTGAGGAAAGGATGCCTCAGAACACGGCGGCCGAAATAGCGTCGGAGGAGCAGCACAGCAGCATTGATGAGGGGGAATCGAATCAAGAGCATTCTGGGAAAATTGTGGAGGAAGATCAGGACAAAGAAGGTACAAATTCAGATAGAGAACTCCTCCAAAAACTCGGGCCACAATTCCCAACAACGTGCATTGGAGGAGACACGTTGCCTCATTAAGGCTGGATTTACACTGCGTTTGGTTCAAGTGATACAATAACTTTTTTTTTTTCCAGTCTCAAGTGGTGCAAATTGGAATATACTTCCTCGTCAATAGAAAAAAAAAGGCATGGAATCAGATATCTTCAGATGGGAATCAGGCCTATTCCAATTAAGTTAAAAAGCCTAAAGCTGTCGGGCATCTGCCAATGCGAGTGCAGCCAAAAGACACAGATTGGATAATTCACCATGCACTAATGGTGCATTTTTTTCCCCACTGTCGAATTATCTATAAAGGTAACCTAAAATGACTTTGAAATGATATTTTGGTTTCATGTGTTCATAAATGCAATTATAATCATTGCTTTGTTGAGGGTTTGCCGTATAGGCATTAAATGGTAATTGTGCACTTGGATCTACAGTGCAAATTCAGCCTAAAACCATGCCAAGAGTCAAACAGGGTGTTTATGCCATCACACGGTGTTGGTGTTGGCCCCCTTTGAAGTCCACACATCCCTTGATCCAAAGCCTATTTGGGCTTATTTGAGAAGATGGTCCCTATTGCTCAATAGTGGACCATCATTTGCTATAGTAAAAGCTTCCTTTCAACTGCAGAGTTTTGATGTGGGTAGGTGTGATTATTACCCGCTGTTGGTTCCCATCAAGAAAGCTTTGATGTCATTAACAGGGGATGCCAAGGCAAAGAAATGCAAGAGGAGCCTGTCGGAGCAGCTGAAAGCATCGGCTGTGAGGACGGAGGATGAGGCCAAAGCGGCATCCCCGCCTCCGCCGCCCCCACTTGTGGTTGATCACAAGCAACTTTTGGTAACGTATTTATTTTTACAGCAGATTTTTATGGCAACGAAACGTACCGTTTGAATAAGGAATGGGCCACAAGCAGGCATGCGCGTTTTAAATGAACTTAACTGGAGGTGTGATGGCAGGTAAGAAAACAGAATTGCTTATCCTGAAAACAGCGCTTATCCTGTTGGCTTGCACATTTGACTCTTAAATGGACGACGAATTGAATTGGAACAATTTTTTTCTTGAAGCAGCTATGTTATTTATTTGAGGTTGCAATTAGTTGATTGAACAAGCTCGGGCATGTCTTCAAAGTCAACGTGATGTTGTCTGACATGGCGCTGACAGTCAGACTCGGTCGTGCTTCATTTGAAGGTTACCTCATAAAAGTAGCTTGACCTTGGCCTTGTGCCCAGCACTCTTCATATTTGTCATTGAAACACCTTCCCTGTCTGTTTTACAAAGCCTGCACTTAAAACTTTCTGAACAAAGCAAAGACAGCTCTACTCCCCCCGTAGAATGGGATTTATATGAAATGCTATGGCGAAGCCCCTTCACGCAAGACTGCACCCCAAGTTCTGTCGACAGCCATAGGTCTGTTTTGAAGCTGATGTTGTCAGCTGTCCTTCTCAGATGAATAACTTTGTCAGGCTTATCCAAACTCTGCTCTCCCTTTTTTTTGAGTTTATGTCACAGTTTCTTTCGGGGTGCCAATTACGCCGCAATGTCACTCTCAATCTACAGATGCATTTCCTGTGCAAGGAAACAAGGTCATGACTAAAACATGAGCCACCAAACAGAACATGCGAATGAACCCCGGTGCTTGCTACTACTTTTGTCCCCCCAAGTGGACTGGAAATTGGTACCTTTTTGGCTCAGTGGTCTCCCTTGACGGCATATCCCACCAGCAGTGGGGTGGGTGGCCATAGGGTGTAATTGGCGTCAAAGAAGTACTCTTTTGACATGCACTCACTTTTCCACCCCTTCCGTAGTGACATAGAGCCATCAAGCCATTATCGAGTGGCTTTTTACCCGAGTCCACACAGGCGACGGTGTCAACACCATCACTCAAACTGATTGGCAGGCCTTTTAGTAGACTTGATCTATTGGACTCTGATGGGCCGCTGCGGTGAACAGCAACACGCGGCACTAATCTGCAGGCTTGTGGCTAAAGCGTGTCGCGGGGCGGGGGTGGTTGGGTTATCTTAAAGAAACAGATCGTGAAAATAGGGAGACTGTGAATAATTGCTTTTTTATCCCCCAGCTTACGGAACAAATTGAATTTCCTATTGGCGCCGGGAATGAGCGCTGCTGTTTAAGCGGCACTATGCTCGCTGGTGTTTATTAGGACTTGTGGTGGATGTCAGCCTTCCCTTGGTTATATTCATTGATTGTAGGGTGCTCATTATTCCCTACTGTCAACATGATGGAAGAGGCTCCGAAACTCTTCTCTGTATTAAATACCATCAGGAGTTTGGTCACAGACTCTATGCCTGAAGTCCTTGAGGACATCAGTACTTACTTGGGCCTTCCAGAGCCACAATGTTGTTCACATTTTTAAAGGAGAAGTTAGATATTTTTAAAAATTTAAAGCAGTTCCTACATGTCCTCAAACATCCTTGGAGTGAGGTGCCTATGAGCAAAAATACAATTTTCTAAGCTTTTTTTTTCTTCTTTCAGTCTGAGCTACTAGCAAGCCTTGTTGCAACCCTTAACCCCGAGACAATGCGGAGGCAATTATGAACAATTTGAAATGTCAGCCAGTGTTGGCACAAAAACTTCAGGCTTCTGCTTGAAATCAAAAACATCATGAAAAGCCTACTGGAACATTCGAAATGCATGTGGGGGTTAGTCGGTAGCACTTTAAATGGTGACAGGTTTGTCCCCAAAAAAATCAGTTGAGTTGTGCGGGCTACAGGCCACATTCGTGGTGGAAAATGTTTGGTAAGATGCATCTTGGCCTCGTTTTCTGCATCACAAAAGCCTAGCTTTTGAAGCAGGACATTTTGTAACCACTGCGTGTTCCTCTTTATTGCCAGTTTTCTTGAAATCTCAGGATGAGAATAAATTCCCAAGATAGTTTGAAAGAGTCTGTCCCAAGGCGCCTCTGTTTTTTTTTTTTTTCAACAATCGGCTTGTGTAAAATGCTGATGAGACTTTTAAGGAGTTAATATCCAATCTGGACCTTCGCCTTCCATCTCACACTTATTGCAGATGATGCTGTTTTCTTTTAACAGCTGCCCGAAATGAGCTCTTTTCCTGCGCCGCTAGCACAGTATTGGGGGGGGGGGCCCTTTGGTCACGTTGTGTAGCTATGACAGAATTTCACCATTTCCTGTTTGACCACGAGCTCGCCCGACAATAGCCACGTCCCAATTTTCATTTTGTCATCTTGGCTCACTATTAGCCATCATAGCGAGGGAGACCCATTCCCGCCAAGGCCAAGTTGCAAGTTTGTGTCTCTAAAGAGAACAGCTGTCAACGCGTATGCACTTATTTTTGCCTCATTCCATCTAATAGTTGTTTGTATTCACAGTTGTCCCTTTTTGGTGCAGTGCTGCATTTCCACCGAGCGTCGGGTTCACTTTTCGTGGTTTGATTTGGATTGGTAAACCCAGACCAGGCTTAAATTTCCATTGCTGATCTTCCTTCCGCAAAGCGTACCACTGTGACAATTGAGTTAGGAAAAACAGCCCCGTTCAGATTATCTTTGGAAACTTGGTAATTGAAATGTAATCAAATTCCTGAACCGATGACGTCAAAGGCTAACCAAATGAATAATAATGCCTACCTCCACACAAGTGAAGTCGGCCTTTTTCCCCCCTCTATAACGTCACTCCAAACCCACTCAGGCAGGGTATTGCAGTCTTGAGGCAACTTGCCACAATCATATAATTACATGCGCGACAAGGTCCACGCCAGCGTCTGGTGTCGAATTTCACAACTCTTGTCCCTGTTACGAGTCAGAAGCTGGAAAAATTTGACATTTAGCTTTAGAACCATCCATTCAATATCGGTACAATTTCAGGAGGGAAAAATACCTTTACTGCTATTCACCTTCCCACAGCCGCTATCCCACTTAAGAAACTGAGGAATATCCAATCCAATTTGTGGCCGTGCCTTCTCACACTGAACAATGATAGGAGAAAGCCAGCTTTTATGGGCAGTTTGAATGGAGCTTGTATCAGGCTCTTCTGAGCCAAGCTATAAATGCAATTAGCGAAATGTTGCAAAGGTTAACCCGTGAGGGAGGAATAACTTGGAAACATTGAAATACCAAAACAGAAAGTGCAGCTTGTGCCTGGGATGTTATTTATTTTTTTTTGTACGTCAAGGTGTTTCATTTCCTTTGATTGGGGGGGGGGGGGATTTTTTTTTTTACAAGTGCCAGAAGTCCATGGGAAAAATGGATGCAGGGAATTTCTGTATTGTTTTTTAACTTAAGGCTGCATTTTGACAATCTTGCGCAATAACTTTTAAAGCGCGTCACTGTCTTTTGTTCCCTTACAATGAAGTGCCCATCATTCAGAGCTATCAGCTGTCATGGGGATTTTTCCAGTGATTTGATCTTGGAAGCCATGCCAGCCTTGCTGCATATTTTAAGATGAGTTGACTACCCCAGCAGGGATCTCTCCCCACCAGTCCTCGCCGTAAGGGACGAGCGTCTCATTTTAATGTTCTGAGACGACGGCCATGATATGATTTGTCATGATTGTCCCTGACCCTTCTAACACCCATCTATATTGCATTACCTGTGTGAATGCCCCCATAAGCCGCCGTATTTGCCACCTGGACTGAATTTTTTTTAAATCGGCGTTTCGTCGCGCAGCCCCATGTCCACCACCCCTTGGCCTTTGCATAAGCTGAGGCGAAAAGAAAATGATGTTCATTTATCATTTATTGTTTTCCACGAAAAGAATTTTGAATTGGCATCTCGAAGCGAGATAGCGGCGCCTTAATAGTGTCCCTGCTGACAGTACATGTGGATGTCTCCCCTCTCGCAATGATCTCCACCGCAGGCTTTAATTAGGACCCGCACAACACAATCCTTCTACCTTTTCAGGATTGTTAGCGTTTCACATACTTACCGTAAGACTGTCTGCTCACATCTGTGTTCCAAAGCAGTTTTTTTTTTTTTTTTTTTTTTGTGTTAAGAGTTGCAGGAGTCTGTATTTTTCCACAACACAGCTCGGCTTCCAAATTATTCTACTTTAGAGGCTGTCCTGAATTGAAGCTTAGCCATGAATTACAACTGATTAAGTACCGGCCGTGTTTGTTGGATGACCTTGAAGAAATGAGAGCAATTAGATGCGAATGAGAACGTGAACGTAAGAGAAAGGAATTAGAATTAAAGACGACAAACCGAAAAGCCGACATCATCCACACATAAATCGCTCCAGATTACTAGCTGCACTGTCGATTTTTGAGAGATTTAAAGGACTTTTGTGTGTCTTATCATCCCAATTTTTTTTGTTTTCATTTCCCATTGTTTATTAATAAAACAATTGTATGTTTGTAGTCAAAGTGTGCTGCTTTTGACCTGCCAGGTCAGCTTATGTGAGTTGAATTAGTTAAATATCGACTGCTTTCTGTGCGATTTTCATGATGCATCCACTCTTAAAAAGACAAGTCTTGATCCCCCCCAACATTTAATATTGAAAAAAACCCCCAATGGTATTGTTGTGGCTGAATACGCTGAAGACTTGCCCTTTCTAGCCTCCTAAAAAGAATGTGATTACCGTATTTTCCGCACTATAAGGCGCACCGAAAAGTCTTCCATTTTTTTAAAAGCTCACAGCGCGCCTTGTGTATGGTCATTATGGTAATATGTCGACCCCAAGATGGCTCCTTGCTGGACACATGCTTACAATGTTATAACTTGCTGTTGGTTCAGTGAACTGTGTCGCTGCTTTATTAAATAAGTTTTGGTTGCAGCTCCGAAAAAAGGAGAGCTGTGGTGTTTTTTTTAAAACGCACACTTTATTAATGGGTTTCACAGTCTCAACAAATACTGGTAAGTCTTTGTCCGTCCCCGTGCCTTCTCTTCTTCCGTTCGACCTGAGGCGTTCATGACCGCCTCCGAAAAACGTAAATTAACGATTTCTTCAATGAAACTACGAAAATTGAAAATAATGCATCAAAACAGAAAATCAAGCGAGGAAATCACAAAATAAATTCTATAGCCCCCCTACAGAATTTTTGTGATTTCCTCATTTGTGAATACACAAAGGAATTAATAACAAACACTTGTGAGAAAGTCCAGTCTCCTAATTTTACTGACATCTGATCGTTCTGTTGGAGCTACGCTCAAGCAAATGCCAACAGAATGATCAGATGTCAGTAAAATGTAGGAGACTGGACTGTCTCAGAAGTGTTTGTTTATTCCTTTGTTTTGTACTGTATTCACAAACAAGGAAATGCCAAAATAAATTCTGTAGGGGGGCTATAGAATTTATTTTGTGATTTCCTTGCTTGATTTTCTGTTTTGATGCATTTTCAATTTTTGTAGTTTCATTGAAGGAATCGTTAATTTACGTTTTTTGAAGGCGGTCATGAACGCCTCTCGAGTCGAACGGAAGGAGCGTAGCTTCATCTAGTGGATGCATTGTAGATTTGCGTTTTATAATCCAGTGCGTCCAATATCTGAAAAAAATGACAAAATAGGCCATTCATTATTGGTGCGCCTCATAATCCAGTGTGCCTTTTAATGCGGAAAATACAGTATATTATACCCATGACAATGGCAGGTAGCACGAGTTAAAAAAAAAAAAAAAAATGGCAGCGGCAAAAAAGGAGCTGGGCCTTAATGCTCACGGGTGAGGCTTCGAGGTTAAAAGGCCCGTGTCCGCGGTGCTCCTTAGCGCACGGGATTACCGCCCTTTTGTGTAGCACCGCGCTTACTCAATCACAGAGCGCGTTGTAAGACACTCGGCCACCATTTACCCCACGCCGCCGCCTAGCTCCTGACCAAGCTGACAAAAAGCAGGGGAGCGCTGCAATCAAGACTATTCGCAGCCAGTGGGAGAAAAATACATCGAAGGGGATGAATGGAGTGGAAACGAGGCAGGATGGGGCGGGGGGATTGGACCATCACATTCACGGCAAGACGAGCTTTGCCGGGGGAGGGCGGAGCGCTATAAAACATTGAAATGGGCAAAAGGTGAGAAGATTCTACATAAAACAGGAGAGGAGGTGCGCTGTAAAGTCGTAAAGTGCACCCAAAGCGCAAGAGAAAGGTGGCAAATGTGGATTTTTACACAGTCGCTCAACTATCGAGATGGACTGTAACTACGCCAATTAAAGCTTTTATTCGGTTTCTTTTTTTTTTTTCCTGACGCCTCATGGTGTTCCATTTTGTTCTGGCTTCATGACATGGTGTGGCAAAGATCCAAAAAGCTCCCTTTTGGATGTTCGCGCACGCACACAGACGCACACACAGTATGAAAATAGGCTGATAAAATGTGCCAAGTGCGGCTCGGCGGCCTGCAGCTCTAATGATGACTTATTATTTTTTGTGGGGGGGGTTAATAGGAGTCCTCAGCGCTAGCTTTTTACTTAACAAGGGACTTGCACTTATTAGAGGCCAATGGGGAGTTTTTGTCACATTTTAAGCGAGGGGATTGTCTTATGCTGCCAGAATGTCTAATGGAAAGTGACAATGCTGTCAACGTTATTGTGTGCTTAATCTGGTGTTTCACTGTAGAAGAACATCTAGTGGGAATAACAATGGGCTACCTTGGAATCGGCGTGCTAAAAAAAATAAACGGAGTTGTAGAGGGCTGCTTTTCGACTGTTGGGTTTGTGGCGATAATGCACATAAATGGGAAGGGAAGCTTTTATATTGCCGTTGGTGGGTGGGTCACGCACCTCTCCCACTTGGCTGCACTGCGAACAAACGGCGAATACATGAAATACAGTCCTCAAGCCTTTATCCCGGTTCTGTGCAACACATTTTAATTTATACGGCTTCTTTGTTGGTGGTTGAAAAGTGGTTTTGTTGGGTTTTTTTTTTTTTTTTTTTGCATAATCCATAAAGCGAACAAAAGTAATGTTTTTCTCTTTTTTGTTGTTGTTTGCTTAATTATGCCGGTTAGCACGCGGAATTTCAAGCAAGCAAAAAAAATGTCCGTTCTAGTTTAGTTCTGCTCGCTAACAGCTCATCTAATACTGATGTATTTTGCGACACTGATTGACGTCACACCTTTTCCAAGATCTGTCCCAAAATTGAACTGCTTCTTCCTTTTGTGTACGCTCGTAAACTCTATAACAAACTAATTCAAATAACATCACGCTGTACATTTGAACATGCCTTTTTCACTATACTGCATTATGGGCAAATTGCCGCTTTTTAGGCAAAACAAAAAAAGAACTCGATTTCCAGTTATTGGTCCATTTTTTTTTTTTATTATGATTGTTACTATTGCCATTTCGAAACATTTTAGGAGGGGCCTTGGGGTTGATATTTTCTTGACTGTATCCTTGAGGAAACATACAGCACTGTTTTGTTTGCTCCTCCAGTCTTTCCCCTTGATGTAATCAACGGCCATGGTAATCACACTGGATTAAGTCTCTGCGTGTAATTAGATCCCATGCGTCGGCTGACTTCATCTTGACATGTCATTGTGTGCTTTTACCGCACGGTCACCGCCTTTCACCCGAGGACCCCCCCTGTTCTCCTCCATTGCCATTGATGGCAACTTTAATTAATGTGCCGTGCTCGACTCGAGTGGGCGCGTTGTGATGAGCTGTGCGTTTTGAACGCACACGTTTGCGCGCACACACCGGGGGTCAATTAAAAGGGCCTTTTGCTGTCCGCAATGTTTTAATTAAAGTCATCGTGAAATGCAAACTTGCTTCATATTATGATTAGCTTTAATTAACTGTCACTGGGATCCGCGTCTCTTTGGTGTGCCTCTGACCTCCAAGTGCTGTCACAACTGTTTTTTGGGGGGGCTTTTTTGCCGCCGTGTTGGTGCACACGTACGTCAGCATATCATCCAAATATTTTCCACTTATCCTGCAGGTGCTACTCAACATGGCGGTGAGGAAGAGCGAGGGCTTCAGCGTAGAGCAGCTTGAGAGACTCTACTCGGTGCTCAGCCAGTGCATCTTCGCCCATCGCAGAGAGTACGACAAGACGCGACTACTGGAGGTAACAGTTGTCTTTGTCACTTGGGCCTGCTGCATGGCAGGCGTCAAACGCAGGACAGTTAACGCGCCTATGTGACATTGTGAACCAGAAAAGAAACCAATGCAATGGATATATAACAAACAGTAATGCAGTAAACAGAATACAACTGTTGAGAGCAACTAACAATCAAATCAATGCAGTGGGCGAAAAAGAAACTTTCGAGTCACAGCTTTTTCCAAGACCCACACGTCTTTATATTATGTGCAATTATGCTAGTGATCCTCTTCTACTTTACTTTCTCTTATTTCCTATTTTTACGCAACGTAGCACAGTTGACAGACTTTTGGAGCGAGTCATTGCCCTCGTATTTTGTTAGCGTACGCTAACTGCCACACTCGCAGCCAGAGTGCAGGCGACTACTCTCATTGCGCAACTTTGAGAAATCTCGCTGCCAGGCATCCACACAATAAAAGTAACCACAACAAAGAATGTTTAGAATGGGGGGGGAAAAAAAAAATCTGTCGCGAAATGTGCCAAAAACTTGATCATATAGTTGGTTCAAAAGGAATGTTTGTTTATCACGAGTTAGCCGTGGGCTGAGTTGGCAAGAGAGGAAGGACGTGAGGAACACGTGAACGATGCCGCTTGGTTCTTTCAAAATATTCCCTCCATGCTCTGTTACATTTTGTTTCCAGGGACATTTCATATACTATTTATGCAGATTTTCTTCCTTTACCCTCCTCAGGGAAGCAATACTATTTACATAAAGCATTTCAAACTTTACTTCCAAAAATTACATTTTTTTTCCTCTAATAACGAGAAACTCTTGAGTGACATGGCTATCAGGGACAGAGCACATCATGTGGTTTTGCTTGACAGCACTGTGCAGTCAAGATGGTTCTGTTCCAAAGATGCCAAATGCATTAATTCAGTACAAAGTTACTTTTTCAATTGTGACTTTTAACAAACTCAATGGGGGCGGCCAGAAACAATAGACTGTGAAACTAGGACAGGATCGCATTACACGATAGATTTAAATACGTGATTTGTTACTCGCCGCCGGGTGTTTGTCAGATAAAGCATTTATTTTATGAGAATAACGTGTAATTTTTCAAGAGCAAAGGCGTAATTTTACGACAATGAAGTCATCATGTGTGCAGAAGGCCCTCAAGTGGTCATTTATCAAGAATAAAGCCATCGTGAAGAGCGCAAATCCATCGTGAGCCAGGTGGCTTTCTGAAATTTGAGGCTGGACACTGCAAATGTCAAAACGACAGCTTCCGACGCAGCTCCCTCTTTGTAGCCGGAACGCAAAACCCTCTTGAGAGAACCCCGGCGCTCGCCGACGCGCGATTGATCACCCGGCGAGCCTGTTTCCGCTCGCCGTCGCACGTGGGGCTGCGGCTCGGCGCGCTCTGCTCCACTGTAAATGGAGCGTGACGGCGAATTTGTTTCACGCGCGCGGCCGGCCGCGTCCTCGGCGGGGCTCGCCGTTCTCCGCCGCCAGCGCTGACCTTTCAGCAGATGGAGTGGACTGCACTCTTGCTTCACTCTTGCTTCTCGTTAAGAGCCAGAGGGAACTTCCACCACCTGTGTCTGTACACAACAACATGCAAGCAGGTCCTCTGCTACAAATTGGCAGTTGCATGGCTGTAAGTCTACAATTACATTTTGATTTTTTTTTTTTTTTTTGAGGCAATTAGATACTTTGTGACAGCCTTTTTATTTACATCTAGTGCCCTCTTTTCCATTCCTTGTTAAGCCATTTTATACTCCCACGATTCAACTACTGTATTTTCCGCACTATAAGGCGCACCGAAAAGTCTTACATTTTTTAAAAGCCCACAGCGCGCCTTAAAATCCAGTGCGCCTTGTGTATGGTCATTACGGTAATATGTCAACCCCAAATGGCTCCTTACTGGAGACATGCTTGCTGTGATTTCCTCGTTTGTGAATACAGTACACAACAAAGGAATAAACACTTCTGAGACAGTCCAGTCTCCTACATTTTACTGACATCTGATCGTTCTGTTGAAGCTAAGCTCAAGGAAATGCCAAAAAAAATTCTGTAGAGGGGCTACAGAATTTATTTGGTGATTTCCTCGCTTGATTTTCTGTTTTGATGCATTATTTTCAATTTTCGTAGTTTCATTGAAGTAATCGTTAGTTTACGTTTTTCGGAGACAGTCATGAAGGCCTCGAGTCGAACGGAAGGAGCATAGCTCCATCTAGTGGATGTATTGTAGATTGCGTTTTATAATCCAGTGCGTCCAATACATGAAAAAAAAATCCAAAATAGGCCATTCATTGAAGGTGCGCCTCATTATCCACTGCGCCTTTTAGTGCGGAAAATACGGTACGTCAAAAGCATATCCAATAGTTGCATGTGACGGCTTAGAGATGAAGGACGAATATATACGTCCTTGTTTTACAAGAATAAATTTGTAATACGAAGGGGAGAAGTTACCATTTTAGAATAGGGCTCAACATACAAAAATAAGAAAGTATTTTGGGAGAATAAGTATCGTATCGGGAGAGAAATGTCACAACAAATTTTGAATTTTTACGAAATAAAACTTATTTTAACCTCTTGTAAGTCGGGTTTGTTTCTTGCTGCCGTCTGGTCCAAAATTCCTCTTGTGATGTTTTGACTGTTTTCTCCCCGTTTTGCTCTAGACTCTTGTTGCCGACTAATCCCTTGTATTGTTCTTATCCGTGACTTTTTGTTGTCGTTTAAAGTTATTTCATCAGTAATTATGACGTTTTGCCGCCTTTAAGTGGAACCAAAATGTACATTAATTGTGCCCGACTCTATATTGCATCGTATGCTCGCCATCGTTATCCTCTGCTCTTTGTTTCTTTCATTGATTCCAGCATCGCTGTGTCACGTTTGAATGATCAACGGTGGATGCGGAAAGCTGCCGTGCGAGAGCATTTTTTTTTTTTTTTTGAGAGCATAGAAATGTCATCATACCATAGGGCTAAAAAAAAATTTCGTTCCCCAGAAAGAATACCTCGGCGCTCCTCAATTGTGACTTTTATCTGCCGGTATGTGGATTGCTCTGCTAACAAGACACAATGCGCCAGATTGTTGCCTCTCAACTCCTCCTCTTCTATTTCTTTCGTCTTTCCGCCGCACTCAGAAGCCGGTGGTCTTCTGGGGGGGGCTCGAAGAAGATGAAGGGAGCAGGCTCGCGCTCGGCGAGTAAATTAACTTTGGCTTTTGTCCACTTGCCTGTGAACATAAACACCAAGAGATCATTCTGGCAATAAAATCAGATTTTTCAAGACGAAAGAGTTTGAGGACCAAAAAGAGCGCAAACAAATTTTACAAGAAAAAAACTCTTATCTGCTGACATGAAATAATTACATTATTGTACTATTGATAACATTTTCAACTTTAACAAAAATGCAACACTTGGCCTGTCCAGCTTTTGCGTCACGTTTCCATCATCCGGGCCCCAACTCCTTAATAACAAGCCTCCTCTTTGTTGTCACTTTTTTTTTTTTGTGTCTGTGTGTGCTGCAGGAGATGGAAGACAGGATCCAGCATTTTGACACATTCCTGTAAGAAGCTGACGACAAAACCTCTTCAGGTAGACCCTGAGCAAGCCTCCCTTGGGACCACAGAAGACACGAACTGAGAGCGAGGTCGAGAGACATTCAAATGGTGCTATCGTCTCAGGAACATTTACTTGGACACAACCAAACCCCCTCCCAGAGGTGTGTCTCACACTCACGCGCACACACAAGCCAATGGTAATGAGCGGCAACCCCGGTGCTACTAGGGTGCTATTCTAACTGTCATCCATGCTGCTTATTCTTGGCATTTTTTTTAACTCGGGACAGTGAGTCAAAGCAACCAACCCCTTTCACTCACACACACACACACACACACACACACACACACACACACACACACACACAGATCCTCACCAGCAGAAACGCTTGAACACCACTCGTAGAGTAGATGAGGACAGAGTAATATTCCCAATCAGTGAACTCTAGACCGCTGAGCCAATCTCGCCCCGGAGCAGATCTTTTTTTTTTCCCCACCCCCAAACAATTCATATCATACCAACCCCACCTATGAACCCCTGCCTCCTCATGGTTACTTTGTGTATCCAAGCTCTCTTTAACGCCGTGTCTCAATTCAGCGTGTGCGGAAGGCTATATATATATCAAATATAAAAAAAGACACCTAACTTCTCTGGTTGCGCGTGATCTGCACGCTTTTCCCACAGGACAGATGGATAAAGTTTTTGATGGGCGGTCTGAAAGTTTTAACGCAAACAACTCGAACCCCTCAATTCCGAGTCAAGAGCAATGAAGAACATGGCATCGATAAGCAGCGTGGACGGGGCGTGTGACATTTCACATGTGGCATGTGGAGAGACCACTCCCCCACCCAATTGCCGTAGGTACCTTTCATACAAGACAGCGAGAAAAGTATACCTTAGTGGACAGTGTGACAAGGTGCTAGTGTCATTTAATTTAAAACATGATGCCTGAAGAGCTCCAGTTTCTTAAAAGTGCCACATTTGCGGCTCAACCAGCCCATTCTGTATCGTTACCTTTTCACGCAGGACGAAGGAGCTGGTGACTCTTAATACCCAAAAGAAACACCTTGTAGAGCTTAATTAAATGTAAAGTAGCAAATTTATGGGATTGACTTAAACACTCCGTACCTTTCACATAGGACAAAACCGTAAGACGGACAGCCTTGGGACTTGTTAGCAACTGTCAAAAGCGGTATCAGCCCCCTGTTAGCCGCCAAATGGAACCTGCCGAGCATTAAGTCTATTCTTTGAATGCAAGAATTGAGCGTCATTGGAGTTAGCACCGCCACTAAGGCAGCATTTTGTCATTTATTTCATCCGACGGTGGCCTGTTACACACACGCACTCAGACATGCACATGCACGGGGCAAGGGTTGGACAAGACGGTGGACGAATTATGCAAAAAAAAAAAAAAAAAAAAACAAAAAAGGCTGCCGCAAGCTACCTCAGCGTAACTTATTGTCAACTGTTTACTCAGTGCACACAAGCGGTATTTGTTTTTATACTGTCGCACCACCACTCGCTACCGTTGTCAGCGCGAAACCCAGCCGGCTCCCAAAAACTTAGCCCAACGCCCACCCGGATGCCATTTTGCGACATCATTCAGACTTCTTTTCCTGTATTTGGGCAGATTTCATCTCATGTCTATTTATTGTAGATGACTTACACCTTTGGGGAAAAACTAAAATCAAACCTGTAGCATTTTTCGGGCATTTGTGTGTTTGCGTACGAGGGTTTTTACATGTCTCTCAGGTTCAACACATGCCCTTTTTTCAGCTTTTTTGTGTGTGTGTATTTATTTCCTGGTGTTTTCTTTTGAGTTGTTGCATACTGGAAATCATGCTAAAACAGGACCAGACGTGTTGCCAAAAGAAATAAATGAGAGCCACATTTGGGAATTAAAGACAAAGGTTAGTTTAAATGTCATACATTGTGATACTGCTTTTTTCTTATCGTAGCCAATTTGGACTAACAACCAATTTTTGTCTGGTAGTTGAAATGACTTTTTCTAGTCCAGTACGCCGAGCGAGATAGAATGAGCTGCTTCTGCCACATACCCTTGACATTTTTTTTTTTTTAATGTGCGCGGAAAATCTTTCATGGTAATGTTTGGGTTCCTTTTAAGGTTTTTTTTTTTTTTTTTTTTTTTGACACCAGGCAGCACGCTCTCGTTACCGTTTTAGTGTAAGTTATGTTTGGAATGGAAACACTTACTGTATTTCTCAAGTAAAACTGCTGTGATATACTTGAATAAAAAGGTGCAAAACTGTGCATGTTGTTTTCTTTTCAAGTGGAAGGCGGCAAAATATTTCTCGTCAGTTCAAACCAGCAAATCCGTAGTCGCACAGGACAGTGAGAAAAAGACTTTTGACTTGCTAGCCCCTTCTTAAAGAGACAAAAGTCGCCTGAATATTGCTGGGTTATTAATGTTGCCACATGGCTCAGGTTGAACATCATTGGCTTTTTTTTTTTTTTTAACATTCCAAAGACTGAAGGCAGCACCGGGTGAGTAACGGGACAATTTGTGAATGAATTGAGAAGATGAAGACTTTGCCGGATTTGTGGATTAGGATTGATCCAAAAATGTGAGTATAGTGTTGAATACTTCAATAAAGTACCACGGAACTCAGTTTTGCTACTTTTGCCTTTTAAAAACATACGCTAGTGCACACTACCGTATTGTTTAAACAAGAGTATGTTTTACCATGTCTGCGTCCAATAATCCAGTGCATGTTATGTATTAAATACAGAAATAGCACCCGTAAATGACACTCCGCCTCTTAATGCGGTGCGCTGTATGGTAGTGACCAACTTAACATACGCTTTTCAAGTGCGAGGTGCCCAAACTTGTCCGACTTCCATGGTGGCATTTCTGCGCTTCAAAATTGACTGAAGTTCACCCCAAATCTTTCTCTTCTCCTCAAAAGCTGTGCTGATCTCAAATCCAGCATGACCCTCTGCAGCAGGCGTGCACAACCTTTTTTTTGACCGAAGATCTGCTTTTCGAGGCAACCGACCTTCCACAATCGACCGTTACCGTACGTGCCTGCACGCACACACACACGCCTCTGATAACTATTGTGAAATGGGCAAGTGACTTAACCCAAAACACCTGAAGATCTTAAAAGGAGATTTAACCAATTTTTCAATGGTAAAAAGTTCATGTGAAGTCTGCAAGCTGAGCCGTAATTGGTCATTACCTGAGACCTGAGGACTTATGTCATTTTCATATGACAGCAAGTCTCACAATGTATTTTAATGGTATTATTATTTGCAAAATAACTAAAGTATCCCTTAAGGTTCTTTAAAACGATCATTTAGCAGTCAAAAAGGACAGAAAAAAACATTTATGGTACTGGTGACGAGCAATGCAAATCAGCCTTAAAAGCTATTGAAACTCTGATTCTGTTTTGGTACCTTGCCAAATAAGGCAGTGGAAAAAAGAAGGCTTTGTTAGGCAATGTGAAAGGGGCTGAACAAATACCAGAAAGACAAGACATTCATATTTTGGGGGTATATGTATTAGGTTTCCGTAATAACAAGTGTTAATTTCTGAATACAGATTTACAGACGTACCACTTTTTTTTTTTTAATTCGTCCTAACATTTTGTTTATCCTTTAATTTCCTAAAAACAGTTATACACAATTGCCGTGTGGTTGTAAAATATACATATTTATCCTTGCTGGTATTTACAGAAGCTCGCCTATACTGAACAGGTGGCTTAAAAACAAGACCACATGTATAGAAAAACCAACAAGAAAAACAATATGACAAAAGCATGGGTGGTTATTGTGCTTTTTTTCCTCAGCGGGTAGTTGGGAAGAAATATTCAGGATGACCACCACATTAGTCCTCATGGATCTGCTCTTTGGAAGTCCAGTGGCTCTCATCCTGAAGAGATCGCGAGTGTAGAAAATAAATAAAAATGACTGGACAAAACTTCAGAAGTTTACGAGGAGAATTCCTGCACGTATTGATGGGAAGACCGACAACCTCATGGTTGAGCGGTTGCGCATGAAGTACATTCTGCACAGGGAAGGAGTGGCCGGTTCCAAAGGATCCCATGCTGGGGTGAGCGGAGTCCCGGCTGGTGGGTATTTTTTGGCACTGCGTAAGTGGTGAATTGGAGTCCGCCCGGCCTCATCCACTCTGAATGTACTTCTTGATGACCACGCAGCCGTGTCTGAAGAGCGGGCAGGGTAGCGACTGCAGCAGCGTCCACATGTTGCCGCAGGGTTCGAACGTTTCCATGTTGCCCAGCGCCGGACCCTCACTGCTCACGATGCCACCTGTGGCATAGATCTTACCGTCCAGGATCACGGCGCTGAAGTGAAGAACACATGCATATGGTTGGTATTTGGGGTGGAAACGACAGCTTTTGAATTACTCAGCTACGGGGGCGGGGGGGCGTTGCTGATTTTTAGAATAATGAATGGTAGTATTAAAGTTAAGAGTCGGGATTGCGATGATTGTTTCTGGAGGTCAAGACACTTGAACGGTCAATCTGCCGCACAAAGGGCGGCGGGTTGACTTTCAAGACACTTGGAACGGTGAACCTTCAGGACACTTTGTGTGGCAGATTAACTTTCAAGACACCTGAACAGTTGACCTTCAAGACAAAACGCCTGTTTTTTTTTTCGGCAAAAAAAAAAAAGTATAGTAAGACGTTTTTAGCCGAAAAAAACGACATAGTATAGTAAGACGTTTTTAGCCGAAAAAAACGACATAGTATAGTAAGACGTTTTTAGCCGAAAAAAACGACATAGTATAGTAAGACGTTTTTAGCCGAAAAAAACGACATAGTATAGTAAGACGTTTTTAGCCGAAAAAAACGACATAGTATAGTAAGACGTTTTTAGCCGAAAAAAACGACATAGTATAGTAAGACGTTTTTAGCCGAAAAAAACGACATAGTATAGTAAGACGTTTTTAGCCGAAAAAAACGACATAGTATAGTAAGACGTTTTTAGCCGAAAAAAACGACATAGTATAGTAAGACGTTTTTAGCCGAAAAAAACGACATAGTATAGTAAGACGTTTTTAGCCGAAAAAAACGACATAGTATAGTAAGACGTTTTTAGCCGAAAAAAACGACATAGTATAGTAAGACGTTTTTAGCCGAAAAAAACGACATAGTATAGTAAGACGTTTTTAGCCGAAAAAAACGACATAGTATAGTAAGACGTTTTTAGCCGAAAAAAACGACATAGTATAGTAAGACGTTTTTAGCCGAAAAAAACGACATAGTATAGTAAGACGTTTTTAGCCGAAAAAAACGACATAGTATAGTAAGACGTTTTTAGCCGAAAAAAACGACATAGTATAGTAAGACGTTTTTAGCCGAAAAAAACGACATAGTATAGTAAGACGTTTTTAGCCGAAAAAAACGACATAGTATAGTAAGACGTTTTTAGCCGAAAAAAACGACATAGTATAGTAAGACGTTTTTAGCCGAAAAAAACGACATAGTATAGTAAGACGTTTTTAGCCGAAAAAAACGACATAGTATAGTAAGACGTTTTTAGCCGAAAAAAACGACATAGTATAGTAAGACGTTTTTAGCCGAAAAAAACGACATAGTATAGTAAGACGTTTTTAGCCGAAAAAAACGACATAGTATAGTAAGACGTTTTTAGCCGAAAAAAACGACATAGTATAGTAAGACGTTTTTAGCCGAAAAAAACGACATAGTATAGTAAGACGTTTTTAGCCGAAAAAAACGACATAGTATAGTAAGACGTTTTTAGCCGAAAAAAACGACATAGTATAGTAAGACGTTTTTAGCCGAAAAAAACGACATAGTATAGTAAGACGTTTTTAGCCGAAAAAAACGACATAGTATAGTAAGACGTTTTTAGCCGAAAAAAACGACATAGTATAGTAAGACGTTTTTAGCCGAAAAAAACGACATAGTATAGTAAGACGTTTTTAGCCGAAAAAAACGACATAGTATAGTAAGACGTTTTTAGCCGAAAAAAACGACATAGTATAGTAAGACGTTTTTAGCCGAAAAAAACGACATAGTATAGTAAGACGTTTTTAGCCGAAAAAAACGACATAGTATAGTAAGACGTTTTTAGCCGAAAAAAACGACATAGTATAGTAAGACGTTTTTAGCCGAAAAAAACGACATAGTATAGTAAGACGTTTTTAGCCGAAAAAAACGACATAGTATAGTAAGACGTTTTTAGCCGAAAAAAACGACATAGTATAGTAAGACGTTTTTAGCCGAAAAAAACGACATAGTATAGTAAGACGTTTTTAGCCGAAAAAAACGACATAGTATAGTAAGACGTTTTTAGCCGAAAAAAACGACATAGTATAGTAAGACGTTTTTAGCCGAAAAAAACGACATAGTATAGTAAGACGTTTTTAGCCGAAAAAAACGACATAGTATAGTAAGACGTTTTTAGCCGAAAAAAACGACATAGTATAGTAAGACGTTTTTAGCCGAAAAAAACGACATAGTATAGTAAGACGTTTTTAGCCGAAAAAAACGACATAGTATAGTAAGACGTTTTTAGCCGAAAAAAACGACATAGTATAGTAAGACGTTTTTAGCCGAAAAAAACGACATAGTATAGTAAGACGTTTTTAGCCGAAAAAAACGACATAGTATAGTAAGACGTTTTTAGCCGAAAAAAACGACATAGTATAGTAAGACGTTTTTAGCCGAAAAAAACGACATAGTATAGTAAGACGTTTTTAGCCGAAAAAAACGACATAGTATAGTAAGACGTTTTTAGCCGAAAAAAACGACATAGTATAGTAAGACGTTTTTAGCCGAAAAAAACGACATAGTATAGTAAGACGTTTTTAGCCGAAAAAAACGACATAGTATAGTAAGACGTTTTTAGCCGAAAAAAACGACATAGTATAGTAAGACGTTTTTAGCCGAAAAAAACGACATAGTATAGTAAGACGTTTTTAGCCGAAAAAAACGACATAGTATAGTAAGACGTTTTTAGCCGAAAAAAACGACATAGTATAGTAAGACGTTTTTAGCCGAAAAAAACGACATAGTATAGTAAGACGTTTTTAGCCGAAAAAAACGACATAGTATAGTAAGACGTTTTTAGCCGAAAAAAACGACATAGTATAGTAAGACGTTTTTAGCCGAAAAAAACGACATAGTATAGTAAGACGTTTTTAGCCGAAAAAAACGACATAGTATAGTAAGACGTTTTTAGCCGAAAAAAACGACATAGTATAGTAAGACGTTTTTAGCCGAAAAAAACGACATAGTATAGTAAGACGTTTTTAGCCGAAAAAAACGACATAGTATAGTAAGACGTTTTTAGCCGAAAAAAACGACATAGTACAGTAAGGCGTTTTTAGCCCGAAAAAAAACTACACTCGTATAGTAAGGCGTTTTTAGCCCGAAAAAAACGACATAGTATAGTAAGGCGTTTTTAGCCCGAAAAAAAAAAGACCATGTATAGTAAGGCGTTTTTAGCCCGAAAAAAACGACATAGTAAGGCGTTTTTAGCCCGAAAAAAACGACATAGTATAGTAAGGCGTTTTCAGCGGAAAAAAACGACATCGTATAGTAATGCGTTTTTAGCCGAAAAAAACGACATAGTAAGGCGTTTTTAACAACAAAAAAAAAGACAGTATATCGCAAGATCATCAGCAAGCTCTGCGGAAGCCTGACATCGAACCTGTTCATTTGAATCAGGTGTGTTGCAACAGGGAGACTTGGAAAACATGCAGGACAGCGGCCCTCCAGGACCTGAGTTTGACACCTATGTTGTACAGTAACGTGTTTTTTGCCGAAAAAAAAGACGAGGGTTTCCAGGAAAAAAGTAACTGTTCAATTTTCACACATAATTGAGCTGGGTTTGAACCAGGGTTGCCTGGACCGAACGCCGGCGTGTATACCTCTACACCACCAGTAACTGTGACCTATCCTGCACTATACGCGAATTTGACAAGCACTTTCGAGTGTTTCCAAGAAAAAGTAACTAAGTGTGGTATTTTCACACAAAACTGAGCGGGATTTGAACCGGGGTTGCCTGGACCGATCACCTGCGTGTATACCTCTACACCACCAGTAACTGTGACCTGTCATGCACTGTACGCGAATTTGACATGCACTTTCAATGGTTTCCAGGAAAATGTAACAAAGTGTTGTATTTTCACACAACTGAGTGGGGTTTGAACCGGGGTTGCCTGGATCAAACGCCTGCGTGTATACCTCTACACCACCAGTGACTGTGACCTATCCTGCACTATGGACGTATTTGACATGCACTTTCGAGAGTTTCCAGGAAAAATTGTATTTTCACACGTCACTGAGCGGTCGTTTTTTTTCCAGCAAATATCGCTCTACTATAGCTGGTCGTTTTTTTTTTCGGCTAAAAACGCCTTACTATACATGGTCGTTTTTTTCGGGCGAAAAACGCCTTACTATACATGGTCGTTTTTTTCGGGCGAAAAACGCCTTACTATACATGGTCGTTTTTTTCGGGCGAAAAACGCCTTACTATACATGGTCGTTTTTTTCGGGCGAAAAACGCCTTACTATACATGGTCGTTTTTTTCGGGCGAAAAACGCCTTACTATACATGGTCGTTTTTTTCGGGCGAAAAACGCCTTACTATACATGGTCGTTTTTTTCGGGCGAAAAACGCCTTACTATACATGGTCGTTTTTTTCGGGCGAAAAACGCCTTACTATACATGGTCGTTTTTTTCGGGCGAAAAACGCCTTACTATACATGGTCGTTTTTTTCGGGCGAAAAACGCCTTACTATACATGGTCGTTTTTTTCGGGCGAAAAACGCCTTACTATACATGGTCGTTTTTTTCGGGCGAAAAACGCCTTACTATACATGGTCGTTTTTTTCGGGCGAAAAACGCCTTACTATACATGGTCGTTTTTTTCGGGCGAAAAACGCCTTACTATACATGGTCGTTTTTTTCGGGCGAAAAACGCCTTACTATACATGGTCGTTTTTTTCGGGCGAAAAACGCCTTACTATACATGGTCGTTTTTTTCGGGCGAAAAACGCCTTACTATACATGGTCGTTTTTTTCGGGCGAAAAACGCCTTACTATACATGGTCGTTTTTTTCGGGCGAAAAACGCCTTACTATACATGGTCGTTTTTTTCGGGCGAAAAACGCCTTACTATACATGGTCGTTTTTTTCGGGCGAAAAACGCCTTACTATACATGGTCGTTTTTTTCGGGCGAAAAACGCCTTACTATACATGGTCGTTTTTTTCGGGCGAAAAACGCCTTACTATACATGGTCGTTTTTTTCGGGCGAAAAACGCCTTACTATACATGGTCGTTTTTTTCGGGCGAAAAACGCCTTACTA